TTGTTGTTGTTCTTCTTCTTCTTCTTCTTCTTCTTCTTCTTCTTCTTCTTCTTCTTCTTCTTCTTCTTCTTCTTCTTCTTCTTTTTGATGCCGACTGTATGTCTTAGGACGTTGTGGAATCAGGCGCTCGTCAATTTTCCGGCATATCCCTACCCAAGAATTACAAAGTTCTATATGCTCGTAGCTGGGTTTGAGAAATTCGACAAACAATTCTGAGTTACACAACGTGTCAAGCTTTTTCGACCGCATTTCTTTGAATCTCTTGATAACGACTCCGAATAAACTTATGATTTTGATGTAGCAGATAGAATATTTGGTTTCTGACCTCAAGGTCTTAGTAACTTAAAACGACCAAAATGTTCGATAAAACTTTGTACTTCTAAGGTAGCATTATGGTGCTATTATTGATGTAATTTGTAAGCTTATTCATTAATTGTGTTGCCTTTGATCTAAAGATACCCATCTTTCTTAAACAGAAGTCGACGTATTTGCGATTGTGGGATAATAATGGGGGTCACCTCGTGTCAGGGTCACCTCGTGTCAGGGTCACCTCGTGTCAGAGTCACCTCGTGTCAGAGGTAAAATTAACGGGTTCGAAAACTGTCGTTTCTTCGATTTCATTATTTTGACGAGCGCCTAATTTCACCATGATGTCACACAATTTTCATCTTGTATGCCATGTCCCCAGAAAAGCGCAGCTGTTCTTCTTGTCTTCGCCCTGTTCGCGGGGGCTATGGCAGGCGACCTCCTGTTTGGCGGCGGATTCTACGGGCCTGGGACTCGTCTTGGTCTCGGGATCTTCGGCAAGGGTGTTGGATACGGCTATGGCAAGGTGGGAAACTGATAGATAGGACGTAGAGTGAGTCTGAGAAGAATTCTACAGATAATCCTCATCTGAAAAACAAAGGTTGATGGTTATATGAAATGTACAGTCAATAAGACGATCGTCTACTCAAGCGCTTAATGTGGCCGTGTGTAATGGGGTTTCTCTCTCTCTCTCTCTCTCTCTCTCTCTCTCTCTCTCTCTCTCTCTCTCTCTCTCTCTCTCTCTCTCCACACGTCATTACACCGACACTACACCAAAGGGGAGACAATCAGCCCTCACAAAGACGCTCTCATTTTCTTCGCCCCAGGAATCTTGGCCAGCCCACAATGCACCAAAATATTAGAAAGGAAATGAGGCTGTGTTCCGCTGGCCTTATGACGTTGGGAGGAATGAGGAAAGGTGTGTGTGTG